TCAGTGAGAGGAAAGGGAGTGAGCGGAGGACTGTATACACTGTGCTAATGCAAAAGATGTTAGGTTGAAGAGTTGGGATGTAGCCGGGTTTGTTGACATTAATAGGGATGTTAAAATCTCCGAGAATGATAGTGGGTAGTTCAGAGAAGAGAAAGTAGGGTAGCCAGGCAGAGAAATCATCAAGAAAGCGGGACACCGGTCCAGGAGGCCGAGAGATCACTGCAATACTCAGAGAAATGGGAGAAAACAGCCGAATGTAGTGAGTCTCGAAAGAAGAGAAGGATAGAGAGGGAGGGTTAGGGAGGACTTGAAAGGTGCTGAGTGGGGATAGAAGCAAACCAACCCCTCCTCCTTTCCGACCACTGGGTCTGGGTGAGTGGGTCCAGAGGAAGCCTCCGTAGGAAAGTGCTGCGGGAGAAGAAGAATCTGCTGCTTGAAGCCAGGTTTCTGTAATTGCTAGTAGGTTAAGGGAGCTGGAGACAAAAATGTCATGGACAGAGGTGAGCTTATTACAGACAGAGCAGGCATTCCAGAGTGCACATGAAAAAGGGAGGGTGGTTTTTGGGAGCATGGGGACTGATATTAAATTGAGAGGATTGCGGCTATTCCCGGAAGAAAGAGGATGCCTGGTGTGGGGGTGAGATACTGGAGGACCAGGGTTTGGGGAGATATCCCCAGAGGTTAGGAGAAGAAGAAGGGTGAGGAAAGTAACATGGGAGTGGGATGTACACGAGTGCACATGCCTTCCAGGCCTGGTGTTTGGGTCAGCAGGAGAGTAGAGTATCAGCAGGAGGTGATGAGAGCAGTAGTAGGGAGATGGTAGAAGTGAGGGTGAGATTTATAAGTTTTGGGGTGGAGCAGAGGGGTAAAGAAATGAGATTTTGGGAACAAAGGATAGTAATATGAAAAGTAGGAGTAAAGGTGGCATATTAAAAGGTAGGTAGGTGGAGTGGGACTCAGACTTGTAGATGTTTCCCAGTGTGTTTGCAAATATAAAAATCTTTTAGTCAACACCGCATTTGGTAGAGACGTCCTTCCCTTTTAAATGGTGTACACAAGCACTTCCTTATCTTGGTGTCAAACTCGCCCCCGATATTTCTATGCTATATAGGGCTAATTACCTCCCCTTTATACTTCAATTGAATGAGACATGAAAAGCTGGCAGGCTCATGCTCTTTCCTGGATGGGATGAATAGCAGCAGTCAAAATGACTACTCTTCCTCACATCTTATATTACTTTAGGTCCCTGCTGATTCCAGTATAGTCTACATTCTTCCAGGAATTGCAATTGTTAATCTACACATTAATCTGGAGTACTGGAGGTTGCAGGTTAGCAAGCTTCACCTTATACATCTCCAAGTGGAGGGAGGGGCTGGGGGTTCTCCAACTTCTACGTTATCGGGCTGCTCAATTGGTCTAGTTATACCAGATCTTTTTCAATACATATTTTACGCACCCGCTCTGCTGAATTTGGACAGGTCTCCCGTGTGTTGCTACTTCATATGTGCACATCAATTTCTACATGTACACTCTCCCTCAACTGTCCTGCCCTCTTCTTAGCCTCACTGTCACTGTAATCTTCGCAAGTCGATCATCCAAAGGCTCCCTGCTTCCTTACAGTGAAGAGGTCACACAGACATTCAAATATCCTCCCCTGCACCTGCAGTTAAGGTCACCAGTGTGGGCTCCCTAAAAGTCCCCAACATGACAAAACCTTCCCAGTGCACGCACTACTGTTTTGTAAGGTAACTGGCACAATCTGGGCAAGTTATTAACTCCTCCCAAGCGCTTTGCTCAGCAGTACCCTATTTGGCAGTCCAAGAGTCAGCTAATCCTTTGTTTTTTTTTTTGCATGACTGTTTGTGACATGAAGATTGCCTCTTTTGAGGCAGTTCTGTATGACAAATTTCACTCTGGATCATTGATATACTGAAACTTGATATTCTGGCTATGTGGGACAAGAAGACCGTCACTGAACAAGTTTATTCGCCTGATGCTCAGGACCAGATGTTGAACCATGAATCTAGCCCTGAAGATGAAGAAAGCCTTTTGTTGTTCTGGTAGATTCTCACGTGTGTCAATCTGGTCTGCTGGGGAGGAGTCCTGGATACCCCTTCCGCATAGGACATTTGGTTGCAGAAGGAAGCTCCGTTATCCCCTCACTGCCGGACCTCTAAACTGTGGGGTCACCAGACCCAGAATCGGTGGGACAACACTACAGTGGTGGCATGTCAACCATCAAAAGATGAACCAGAAGTCTCTTGGTACTAAAAAAGGATGAAAAGATTATGGCTTATGAATAAGCGCTGTCTTTAGCGTGAAACGTATTTACCTGCCAGTCCCCCACTGTATTTCCACTGTCTGTATTGGTTTTATCTTGGTTCAATAAAGTGGATTGTTTGGAGTGCAATCGGATGTCCTTTGTTCTCATTTATGCAGCACATGAGCTGGGCTAGCACCTACAGGAGTAGTTGTGCTTGGAGATTGTGAGTCTCACTACCTTGAGCAGCGGTAAATCTATAAAGGTGAGGTCCTGAGTTGACAGCCTGGTCTTGTAAGGCACCTTCTGGCACTAAACAGGGACATGATTGTCTTGGGTTCTAAGGCCTCCTTTCTCTCTCAGGGGATTTCTCCCTTGTACCTTAACCAGGACATTATGCTTCTATTGCTCTTTCCTGCACCAGCACTTATCCAGTATTCTGCTAGCTGTTCAAGTTTATTTTTTATTTTCTACTTCCTCCTGATGGTCCGACTGTTTTTTTTTTTTTTTTTTTTTGTTTTGTTTTTTTTGTTGTTTTTTTTTGTCATTTCGAAGGGTTCCTAAAGGGACATCCACTCACTTCACTCTAGCTTGGTGGCTTAGGCTGCTCATCATTCAAGCATATAGGCTTATTGGCAAGGTTCCACCTTTCCTATCAAGGTGCACTCCACTAGATTAGTGAGTGCTTCTTGGACCTTTCAGAATCAGGGAGGAGTTTCTCAAAAAGTTGCAAGGCTGCCACCTTGTCTCATGTTCACTAAATTCTACCAGGTGGATTTTCAGGCCTCTACTGATGCCAACTTTGGATGTGGGGTCCTTCAGACAGCTCTTTGAGCTGTCAGCTACCCCAGTTGTACACTGATGTTTTGGTGAGATTGTTGGCATATTGTTTGCTGTGTTGCCCATTCCTCAGTTAGACAATTGTTTTTGAGGTCCATATTGTATCAGAATTAACCTTGTGTCCCCTGTTGAGCAAAAAAGGATAGATTTCTGTAATTACCATAAAACCCCTTTCTTGGACTTGATTAGGGGTCCCACTCCTCTGTCTTTCTGCTACTACTGCTTTTCTACAAAACTGGAGCTTGATGGCAGTAAGATGGATTATATCTGACTAATTAACAGCTTTGGTTGCTAGTTTCCAATCTCCTCCAACAGTATAACCTTATCGTATTAGAATTTAACCCTGTGTCCCCGTCATGAACTCAAAAAAAAAAATCCTGTTATTTTCTTGAAGAAAAAAACATGGCAGTTATTTATGACACACATTAGGAAACTAAATGAAATTCCGTTAGGGTTTAGATCTACTTTAATGAAGAAACTCGTGTATAATAAACAAAGCAACTTAATTATTTATTGCCACTCAAAGCAGATTTTTTTAAAGAAGAATTTAGACGAGTATAATACAAAAGCATTTTGGGTTTCGTGATTTTTTTTTTTTTTTTTGTTTTTTAACCACAAAAATGATAAAATCAGAATTGAACTAAAACTGTATTTAAAAAAAAAAAAAAAAAAAAAGTATGATTTGGCGTTTCTTATAGTACCTGTTAAGAAACACTACTGGAGTAGCCAAATGTCAAAGTAGTTATATATAAACTAGAAAATGCCAGATAGGCAAAGTGGGGTTGATTTACCAAAGACAAATAGGATGTTCATTTTGCAAGGGAAAATATCCCCATAGCTTAGTGAATGAGGTGAAGCTTTGCTGACTTTTATCAACAAATCATGTTCAAGCAAAAATGCTTTTTTCTTTTTATATAGTTTCCGGACGCGTGATCTGGTATTCTTTGCAAAGTTAAGTTTCACTATATTCACTAAGCTCTAAGGAAACTTCCTTTGCACAATGAACAACCTATTTGCCTTTATTAAATACACACAAGTGCTTCAAATACCCACCTTTTTAAGGGTTAGGGCTTATAATTCATGAGAAGGGCTGGGGCCCTGATCCTGGCTGCAGCATCCAACCAGTGCTGGTTACATCAACTGTTGTCAGTTATTCTACGCAGGGTTGTACAGTGATATTTTGACATGTGATGTCACAGACTGACAATGGGTTTGTAGGCACACTGTGCATCATCATAGTATACTTCAGTTCTATGTTCAGATAAATGCATGCAAGATGAAAACGCTACTAGGGCAGTGTTGGGTAAGTTGGGCTGGGTGGAGGACATTGGCAGGATCAAAGCATTTTTAGTCAGCATTGCCAATGTAAAAAAAACGAAACCCTTCAATATTACATTATAAGGGAGCCTGCAGCCAGTCACATTGGATGCACTAGGAAGAAGCGGCAGATTTTGTCACTTCCAGTTTTGGTTAGCTTGTTTGCAAGCTCTGTTTGACTGCTTTGGAGGGCAGAGGAAAGATCTGGGGTCTAATAGACCCCAAAAAACCACAGTATTCTATTGTGTTTGTATACACTAAAATTTATTAAAGTGTATTTATTTTTTCTCAAAAATTTGTGTTTGACAAACTGCTGTGTAAGTATTGTGTGACACAAAAAAAAATTGCAAACCCCACAATTTTTTATTCTCCAAGGACTTAATTCCAAAATATTATATATTTTCTGAAAGCAAAGTAATTTTCAAGCAAAAAAATGCAAATTTTTACATGTATATGAGAAGTGCCAGAATTGACCTGGACAGCAAGTGGTTAAGTACGTTTGTAAAGTATTATACTTATAAATTGCTAATATGATCTATAAGTGATACAATTTTATATTTATTTTTCTTTGTCTGCTTCCTAGGCCAATTATACCGACCCTCAAAGTAAGCTTCGATTCAGCACAATAGAAGAATTTAATTACATCAGAATGCTTCCCACTGATGTTGTCACTGGATATTTGGCACTAAGAAAAGCAACCAGCATAGTATCGTGACCATTTAGAAATGCACATTTGTTATGATTGTTATAAAATATTCTGTATTATAAAATTCATGAAGTAAAATGTATATATATTTGTAGATGTATACAATATATAAAATAAAAATGATTTCTTTTTTTAATTTATTACTATCTCTGTGTTCTAAAATGGTTACTTCTGCCATTAGATTAATGCTAAAACAAAATTTAACCTGAAACTGCAAGATTCAGGAAGGGATATACTGTAAGTGTCAGGGCTCCAGGTATGACCAGAGGTGTGTGGGCTAACATAGGGAAACGCAGGCTCAAGTATGGTGTAAACAATATAATTTATTAGGCTATACAAAAATATAAACGCACAATATAAACAAAACCAAACCTCCAACTGATAACGGAAAGTACAAGCACACAGACAAGAGTAGTCAGGGCTGGTAAGGTGGAGTGGTCAGGCAGGCCGGGTCAGGAACCATCGGGCAGACAAGGTAAAAAGGAGCAGGCAGAGCGTAGTCAGACGAGCCGGGTCAGGAACAATCAGGCAGACAAGGTACCAGAGGAGCAGGCAGGAGAGTGGTCAGGAATAGCTGAGGTCGGTGCAGGCAGAGTTCTATCAATGTCAGGAGTCAGGCAGAGGGATCAGGAAGGCAGGCAGACGACAGGATCAGGTTCAGGCACGGGCTCATGGAAACAATACACCAAAGCACTGATTGCAGGCCTGGTCCTGCTTAAATACACCTGCAATCAATCTCAGGTGATGGCTTGACTGCAGGAGTGAGATTCTGGCTGCTGAGAGCACCCGCTGGCCAGCACTGGTACTGCAGCCCACAAAGCAGATGAGTCCCACCACCAGTGGCGAGTCCATTCCTGACAGTACCCCCCCCCCAAGGAGCGGCCTCAGGACACTCCAAACAGTCCGTACTGGCACTAATGTTCCACCGCCTGGGTCCAGTAACTGGCTGGATATCCCACTGCCGGAATCAAGCGACTGGCTGGGTCTCCTGCTGATAGGCCTATCTTTTTGCAGGAAGGCAGGTTGCTGGACACAGGATTTCCAGAAGCAGGCTGGGCATCTGGAGCTGGCACATCAGGCTTGGCATCTGGAGCTGGCATGTCAGGCTGGGCAGTGGACAGAGGCACGTCAGGCTGGGCAGTGGACAGAGGCACGTCAGGCTGGGCAGCGGACAGAGGCACGTCAGGCTGGGCAGCGGACAAAGGCACGTCGGGCTGGGCAGCGGACAGAGGCACGTCAGGCTGGGCAGCGGACAGAGGCACGTCAGGCTGGGCAGCGGGCGCCAGGACGTCAGGCTGGGCAGCCGGCGCCGGGACATCAGGCTCGACAGCGGGCACCGAGTCATCTGGCACGACAGCGGGTCCCGGGGCGCCAGGCTAGACCACGGGCACCGGGTTGCCAAGCTGGAACACGTCATCAGGCTGGATCAGGTCATCAGGCTGGATCACGAACACCGGGTCATCAGGCTGGATCGGATCATCAGGCTGGGTAACAGAAGGCTGACCGATTTGGATACTGGCAGGATGGTACTGGTTGGAAAGAATTTTCGCTTCTTCTTAGGTTTAGTTACTGAAGCACTGTAAGTAAATGCAGGTCTGTAAACGGAGGGAGCAGCTGAAGACAGAGAAGAGCTGGAGGATGGAACAGAAGAGGTAGCAGTTGCTACAGAGGACTTCTTTACAGGGTTAAAGGCAGGATAGGTGCAGCGAGTGGGAGCAGGGGACTGACGTGGTTGATGGCAGGGTATACTGGGCTGGAACTGGAGGTGCTGTCAGGAATAGAGCTTTGAAAAAATAGATTAGAAGCAGGACTGGGTTGTTGCAAGCTGACTGAGGCTGGGTGTAACCAATCTGACCATGTCTGTAGTACTGGTTGAACAAAGCTCAGCTTACACATAGCCTGTCTGACCAAAGACTGCACTGCGTTTATGCAATCCACAAGTACATGTGATGGACAAGCTGCATAATGCTCAAGGAAGCAATCTGGATCATCCTCCAACAACCATACCAGTGATTCCACTTGATCTGCACTAAATGGTGGAAAAAAGTCATCCCTGCTTTCAGGGGTACAGGACAGAGCCAACTCCGCACAAACCTGGATCAATGGCTGCACCTCAGAAAACTCCGTGCCCTGATCTAGTGAATGAGCAACTTGTATGCATTCTAGCAGCAGATCCCTGGCATACTCCTTCAGAATCTGATTGCCATATTCTCTGTCTAAGACTAACAGCGACAAGTACACAACCTCCTCAGGATGCATCCTTCACAACAAGCCAAAATGGCTTCCCTGTGCAGCCACTTCTGGTCAGGATTGGCCTTGGTATAATGTCAGCGCTCCAGGTATGACCAGAGGTGTGTGGGCTAACACAGGGAAACGCAGGCACAAGTATGGTGTAAACAATATAATTTATTAGAGGCTATACAAAAATATAAACGCACAATATAAACAAAACCAAACCTCCAACTGATAACGGAAAGTACAAGCACACAGACAAGAGTAGTCAAGGCTGGTGGAGTGGTCAGGCAGGCCGGGTCAGGAACCATCGGGCAGACAAGGTACAAAGGAGCAGGCAGAGCATAGTCAGACGGGCCGGGTCAGGAACAATCAGGCAGACAAGATACCAGAGGAGCAGGCAGGAGAGTGGTCTGGAATAGTCGAGGTCGGTGCAGGCAGAGTTCTATCAATGTCAGGAGGCAGGCAGAGGGATCAGGAATGCAGGCAGATGACAGGATCAGGTTCAGGCACAGGGGCTCATGGGAACAATACACCAAAGCACTGATTGCAGGCCTGATCCTGCTTAAATACACCTGCAATCAGCCTCAGGTGATGGCTTGACTGCAGGAGTGAGATTCTGGCTGCTGAGAGCACCCGCTGGCCAGCACTGGTACTGCAGCCCACAAGGCAGGTGAGTCCCACCACCAGTGGCGAGTCCATTCCTGACAGTAAGAGATGTACACAAAACAATTATTTAAAATCGTGCTTGCGAATGTGGATGCTCATGGTCGCTGTACACAAACGCTTGGTTTATCACCATCTCTGGGTACATAGAGACATGTAAATTCCCTGTTCATCAACAATTAGAATGTGGAATCTATGATGAATGAATTGCCCCAGAAAATATTTTTTACTCCAAAATTCTTAGCTGAACACTATGCAATGAATAAGGTGTTCACTAAGACATGGCCTTTTCCAGTAGTTGATCCTGTCATCTCATTCTTAAACAAATGCCTCGCTGTACCAATTGCAGATGTTCCTTTATTCTGTTGATAGAAACTTTGGGATACACTTTAACCACTTCAATTACGGGCTCTTTCACTCCCTTACTGGCCAGGCCAATTTTCAGCTCACAGAGCTGTTGCACTTTGAAAAAAACACGTTTCTTTGTTTCTGGTATAAAATTTAAACAATCTTTCATCCTAAATATAGGCCAAAATGTATTCTGCTACTTTTCTTTGGTAAAAATCACCCAAATCAATGTTTATTATTTAGTTTGTAGGTAAGTTATAAGGCAATTTCACACCAGTGCGTTAATCTGTGTTTTAGCGCAGCTATAAAAGGCAGTTCAATAGAAGGACATCTGAAAAACAATTTCCAATGTGTCTTATTCACACCATAACGCTGTGTTGACCTGCATTGCACTGAAATGCAAGATGTATGCATTTTAGCGAAACAGATGTAAGCGGATGTCAAAGGCAATTCATGGAATATAATGTGAAAATACAGTACGCTTTAACACACGCTAAAATGCATGTCCATGAACGCAACTAAAATGGATGGAAATGTACATCCATCTTCCATACATTTTAGCGTATGTCAGTGTGATTTGGCCCATAGAGTCCACAAACTATGGTATGTATCTGAAAATATTGATCAACCCTGAAGTACTGACAGCCTAATTTCTTGAGGCACACAAATGCCAGGACAGGACAAATATTCCCCAAATGACCCCTTTTTGGAAAGTAGGCAGTCCAAGGTATTTAGTAATATGCATGTTTTTTTTTTTTTTTTTTTCCATTTAATTTTTTGGAAAATGAAGAAATTCTAGTAACATTGTACTAGAAGTGATCAGGATTTTTTTTTCTTTTTTTTTGCACATTATGATTGCTTATGTCAGTGAAATTCACTGCTATGAGCAAACATTTTTATTAAATTAAATTGTTTCATTCAGTGTGTATTGTTGTGATGATCTGTGATTGGCCACAGCTAATCACATGGTACAAATGGAATTTTGTTGCTAGCTGTGACCAATCACAGCTAGAAACAATTGTACACAATGAATGGCATGAATCATTTACATGATTGTTTTTTTTCTGCAATTATGTGATCTGCTGTGACTGGTCACAATGATCTCATGGTACCGGCAGCAGCCCAATACAGTGATTTGTCCCATCGGCTGGGTGTCCAGATGGTCACAGGCCCATTTGCCATCGGCTGTGTCCAGTGGACACAGCCCATGACAGATTGGGTTGTGCCCAGAAAAGTAATAGAGGGGAAATCTTCCAATGGGAGATTGGTGATCAGGAGAACCCCAGTGGATTCCCTTAAGGGAGAAGTAGGGCCAAAAGTGACATGTATTCAGCCAACAGTGGGCTAAAGTCCAATGTCGGGTGACATCACTGAGCTGGTCCAGGCTCTTGAACCCAAATTCCTGACTGGCAGCTGTCTCAGTCTCTTAAGTCACCTTCTCCAAAGCCCAGCACTCCAGTGAGCACTGGAGGGGCAGAACAGAGAGTCAGTAACACAAGTCACCGGCTCTCTGCTTACTGAAATAGAAGAAACAAGCAACCAGCGGTCTTTGATTGCTCAGATCTCAGTCTTAAAAGTTGTGTGGGAAAGATACAGCATCGGATCAATGCTGCATCCACCTAAATGAGTATGACTTTTTTTTTCAATTTCCATCCTTCTCTTTTAATTTGCAGGGATTTCCCCTCACTTCCCGTTTTTCCTATGGGAGAGGAAGTAAAGTTAAATCTCGAAATTGGAACATAGCAAAAAAAAAAAAGTGACGG